GAAGTTCTTGTGTCGTGGCAAAATGATGCCCTCTGTCTAGTTCATGGTACCACTTCTGATGACGCCTAATGTTTACTGGCTTCTATAGCACATTGAATCAGTGCTTTGAGGGAGATCTGCCAACAAGGACCTTGCTTCTCTTTCTTGAGTTGTTGACTTAGAAATGAACTCTATTATATATCATTTTGTCCTTATTTACTACTTGCCCAAACTCATCCTCATGAAAATGTTGTGGAGTCACTAACTTAAAGTGTATTTCATAGCTCTAATTTGTTGTTGTTGTGTCAATTTGGAGGAAGGTGTAATAAAATAATAGTAGTATGGAAATAGGGAAGAATCTATTACTTGATGATATAAACGCGTTAAGAATTTTAGATTTCTTGGCTGTTACTCTTTAATCCCAGTTAGACAAGTCTGAAGGAAGCTGTTTGGTCAAGGTTAAAAAATAGCGCTGAGCGAGCTATAACCATGGGAACCAATGCTTCTAGGTCTTCCTCAAATATGTTAAGAAAACATTCCATTCCAGCCAGTCACAGTGAGCTGAATCTTGAGGCATTTTGCAGGGTATAACAGATTATTAAAATGATAAGACAAATACATGGCAAAATAAACTTTAATTTTGCTTGATAAGTTTTCCGAAGTGTGTCTCCAGCAAAGCTCTCAATAAATGGCTTGACTGTTTTGATAGGACTTTTTGAAAGTGAATTCACATACCTTCATCCCTCTCCATGGTTTGGTGGACTCTGTTAATGCTTGAGGCCTGCTTTTTAGATGCAAGTCTATGCAAGTCTCCTGCATGTGTTTTGTGCAAAGTAGCCTATGGCACAGTAAAGGCAGAGCTTTGAAAAGCAACAGAATCTGGTGGCAGATAATGTAGGTTCGTGTTGCTCCAGCTGGTGGAGTTGGAAGTCAGAGGGCCCTAAGATATGAACACAAGGTATCTTCTGTCCAGGTATCCTCTACTTCCAGCTGTGTTTTGTTGTTTATGTGTTTTCATTATAGTACTTGACTGTCTGATTGAAAACTCGGCTTGCAAAGTGTCGTGCAGCAGTACGGAAATACGACCTACTCAATTAGAATAAAATCATCTAGTGAGTGTAGACTTTTGCTAGATATAATATTGCAAATGGGGCTTATTTGTATCCATAATACAACTGCTGTCTTAGTCCTAGGTAACGTTTATAACAAATCTGTTCCCTTGTTACGGCATTATTTTAGGGGCATTTTGGATAGTGCTGTTTCACTAGTTCCCTCTCTGCCCAGCAATAAGCTTTCCTAATACAGATCAACAGCATGAACAATATCTACAAACCTGATGTGCACTTGAGAAATGGATCAGGAATGTCTTGAAAGAGGTTTTTGGTGGTGGTGCGCCCTGTCCTGAGTAGCAGTGGTGCTTACGAGTGCGATTGCCAAAGCCAGGCTGCTGTGCTGGAGTGACATTCTGTTATCCTGGAAAAGAAATCCACAGGATACTGTCCCTAATGCTAAGCAGATTAACTGTGTGTAAATGTTGCAATTGAAATTAACTGGCATGCTGACTACTACATCACACAGTTAATGTAGGAAATCCTCTTGGCTTAATTGTACCCTTACACGCTGTATCTTGGTAGGTGCTTAAGTCATTATTTAGAATGGATAAACAAAATTGGATTTTTGATGGAGGAACAGCGAACCCTTTTCAAGTTTTGGCTAGCCTGCTGTGTTAGAGACTTGATGCTTTGAATATTTTCAGAGAGAAGGCATGGGCAGTTTTCCTTAAGTCTTTGTCTAAATCAGGAGTTGAAGATGAGCTCTCTATGTCTTGTGATAGCAGTGATTGAATTTGCAGTGTAGGGCACACTTAAGCACTTTGCTCTGAGCCAGGCATGATGAGAGAAAGGTCTTTGTGCTTCGTGTGCTGTGGGCTCTGACAGGCATCGCAACTTTGAGTCTGAAAGCTTTGGTGTTTCAGACTCAGCTTGATAAATAAACCGAAAGACCCCAAATGAAACTTCCAGCAATGCTTTTATGTACTCTGTGTGTTCTTTTTCCTCTGCTATTTTATATATAACCTGCTGACATACAGTCACTCTGGAGAATAGTACTTCTCTTGTTTATCCTGTATGTGGTATCTAAACTTCAACCAGGTTATCGGCTTCCCTTTTTCCACTTGTTTTTAAATTCCTCTGACTATAGAGAAATAGTGTATTTTTAACAAGGGATTTTTCACTTGCTTGTAGATGCAATCTATGGAATCTGTAAGTGTCCTTATGTAATTAGAGGTTTATTTTTTAACCTGCATGCATGACACTATAGAGAGTATATTAGGCTAAGCTCAACTTTTTATGAGTTAGGGTTTCAGCTTGTGACAAAACTACTGTAATTGAACAAACTGTGGAGCATGGTTTTAGCCTGAAGCAACTGCAAAATAATGTAATTCGGGCTGTGGTTGACAGCTTGCTGCTCCCAAAAAGGGAAGGTATAATTCCTCCTCATGCTTCCCCTGTTCTCTTTCTTCCCACCCCTTCCCTGCTCCTGAAGATGTGGTTCCACCATCTTTTCTGGGTTAGCACTGGTGCTCAACCCTTGCAGAGCTTGTTTCTGTTTATTAACGTGACAGAAAACTCTCCTCTCTTTCCTGCCAGGGCTGCTTTCTGCCAGGTTAGTGAGGTCGTGCAGTTGACCCCCTCAAACAGGTCTGTCCAGTGTCGGAGCTGGTGCGAGGTAGAAAAGGGAGCAGGCAGGCAGGAGGATAATGAGGGAGGCACCCCGCCTTGCAGTAGTACTCTGCTGTTCAGCAAACTCCTTGGACCTTCTGAGACCGTAGTGTAGCCTTGTCACACAAAGCCTAGTACCTCATGCAATGGACTAAGAATGTTTGCAGAGATGCTTATTGTGGCCCAGATGAAGTGATTTAACTTGCTAAACCATAAACTAATTTGTACATCTGATTTGGTAGTTCTTGTTAATTAGAGCAGGAAACATGAGAAACTCTGAGCTTCAAGTTATGCTGCTGAAAAAAATAAGCCTGTGTGGGTGCTCTTATTTAAGTTTAAGAACAGTCTATTTACTTAGCTCCAATATTTTCATAAGGATATCAGTGAACTTTCACTTCTGAATGTGATTGGTACAGTTTAAGTTGTTTGAGTGTTGTCTGGTTCCCTGTTTTTGATATTGTTGCATGCTGGGATTTGCTACCTTCCAAGTAAAGCTGATGGAACCCTGTGTGTATGTGTGCATGCACCTACTCTGGCCTAATGCAGCTGAGGTCCAGTGCCTTAGCCTAAGCTGTTGATGGAGGTAGATTGAGCCGATGTTGACTGTCTGTCCTAAAGCAATTACTTTTATTCAGTTCCAGAAATCCAGGAGGTGGTAACAGTTTAAGCCACCACAACTGTTTGCAAAGTGAGTTTGTTTCAACACTGATTTAGATTAAACCACACAAATGCACTGTTGCCACTTCATACAGATTCCTTAGACATGATGAGACGTAGCTGGGTCTGGTGCTGTTTTACTACAAGAGGAGAAAATCTGGCACTTCGTTAGTGCTGTGGGAAGTATTTAGCTGCTCACCCTTTTTTGCCCCTCTCTTAAGTATAGCCTGGCTGGCCTCCCTGGGGCTGTTCTGGCAGGAGGAGATTGCTAAAGGCTGAGATGAGTTATATGCATATGTAAGCAAAGACGCTGTAAAAAAGCTTCTCCCTTGTACATCCTGTGTTGTCTGGCACTTCAATTATTTCAGTTAGAGTGAAGAAGTGTTTGTGGGTGGAGGATGATGTTGCATATAGCTAGAACCAATCCCACAGAGGACTTGGGTACCAAGAAAGAGGCAGTGTACTAGAGTTTTATTTTGGGACTACCTGACCTGGTTTCAGGCAAGATTTATCCTGTTTTTAGCATTTTGGATTTCAGATATATCAGAACGGGAGGAAGAAGGATGAGATTGATTTGGGGAAAATTACCTGAGAAGAAATACACCTTCATTTTTTTGGCTGAACATCAGTCTGCAGAAAGCCTGCAATGTGGTCTTTAGAACAAAATTAGCTCTTACCTCTCAAATTGTTAGGGATTCCTCTGATTCCTTGATGAATTAGGGTAACGGCTGATGAGCAAGCTATCGAGCCATGAACTAAGTTGTGACTGTGCATTGCGCTGTGCACAGTCAGTACCTGTCAGTATGTTCATTGTGCTAGGTACTGTATTCTCTTAACCTTAACAAGGTAGCTTGTTGAAAGAGGGGTAGGCTCCCCTACACTTGCCACAGGGGGAGACCATGCACATGGGCATTGGCCACAAAGTTGTGAGAATACTGTAAGCGTACACCATAGCTTACGCCATGGCAGCTTTTTCATCTACCCATAGCTTTAGTTTAATTAAAATTAATTACGTGAACTTAACCAAAAGAAAATGTTTAATGCCACCTCTTTCTGCCAGCCGGGTAAGGGGAATGACTTATGGCATGTTTGAACTTTACTTACTGCTAACAGCAATGCTTTTTTTTTTACTTTGAGGGAAAATGCAAAGTCGCGGTGGCAGAGCTCAGTGGGTTGGTTCCAGTGGTTGAAGTCAGCATGTTCTTGTTATAGAAAATGGAGAGCCAGTGGGATAAATTTTAAATCCTGCAGATGTTTAATGACAGGTTTCAGCAAACTCACGAACTCCTCAACTATGTAGCACAATATCAGAGCCAGTCACCATGGACAGTATATTTCAAAGAAATATTTAGAAATTGCCAGTGGAAGCTAAACTTTGAAAAACATGAAGTCATTCTTGAAAGGGTTCAGATTTGTTAAGTATCATGTGAACAGCCAACAGCCACCTATTTCTTGAAGCTAATGTTAGTATGCTTCGGTGGGGAAAATAACTGCATAGATGTTAGCTCACATACGAAAGAGGGAAGCTTTTGCATGCAGACAGGGGAAAGTACTGTTGCTGGTTTAGCGTGGCATTCTGCTCAATGCATGTTTTATATTTTTATGCGAGTCTTAAATAAAACCTTTTGGATTTTTGTCTTTCAGAATCGTAATGAAATAAAAAATGGAGCAATCCTTCGATTAACAACATCTCCAGTGAGTTATTGTTCTGTTCTTTTCTCCTTCAAAGTAAAGATTTGATTAGTAAATCATTGTGAACGGATGTATGTATTTTTAAGCTTTAGCCACACTGTATCCCACAGTCTCCCTGCAAAGGAGGATGATGGTGTAGTCACAAGATGACTGTATGTGGTGTTCTTTTTTTTTGAGTTATGGGGGCAGGGGTGGTATCTGAGTGACACTTGGTGATAGGGTTGGCACAACTGGGTGTTTTTTGTCTCTTGCTTCTCTCCCGCTGGGAACAGCTTTCATGTCCAAGATACCTCTGCTTCCCTGCTGGCATTGCAGCCTCACTCAAGTGCTCCTTTTCTGCCCCAGAGCTCAGAGCCAAGAGAACGAGGCTGGGAGTTGTATCATGGAGAGCTCTGCTGGGCAGCTTAGGTCAGAGCTTTCCTGCTCTCTGGGTTTCTATTGAGTGAGCAGCAACTGTAATGTTGAGATTTTACTGTTGGGTTGTTTTTGGGTTTTTTTTTTCCCAACACCACCTCCTTGCCAGCTCCTCAAAAAGCACAGCAGAGTTGCTGGTTGCCTTATAATGGCCTGTTTTCCTGCTGCGTTGAGCAGGACTGTTGCCACATGCTGAAAGCCACTATTAGTCCCAGAAGATGTATGTCTAAGGCAGCAGCAATCCCATTTCCTTGCTGACAAATGTAGTGTGCCATTAAAATGGTTTACCTTTTCACGGTGGTGTTCTCACTTCTGCATATTCAAAGCATTCTTATGGCCAAACTCTGCCACCCTGTACTGCAGGCAAGATGGAGCTGTGGTGGTTTAACTTTTGGCTTCTGTTGAACCTGTTAAGAATGGAGTCAGTTACTGCCATAAAATGTGAAAACTTCTGTCTAGAAGCCGTGCAGAGATTATAGATACGTTTTTGGATGGATCACTTTTCAGCTAGTAGGGCCTAGGCTCAAAGCAAAGAAACAGAGAAATGTGTGTTGTTACTAACTTCCCAGGTTCTCCAGGCATCATGTGTGTTTCCACTCCTCCTCCACTTAACCTGATGATGGCTTATGTTGGACTTAAGAGGTGACTGAATTTGTACGCAGGTTTGTGTATAAGTGGAAATTGAAGAAGCCAATATGAAAACATATACGTGCCTCAAGTTTTTTAATAAGTGACTGCAATACTAATCTACAGGAGTGTAGCTTCTTAAGAGAAAGCACTTCTAAGCAGCAGCCAGCTGGGCAAAGACAAGAGATTTCCATTATCCATCATCTTTTTCAGTGGTCGTTATATACAGATCTTTACAGTCATAAGTACAAACAACAGTTTAAGACCATGGCTCTGTCAGAGTCTATGTGACTGCAGAGTCTTTTGCCATATGTCACCAAAACAGCCTTGTAGGTGGGGAAACCACTTGCTGGTGGACTAAAACCCCATTTGGTGGAACTTTCTCAGAAACAGATAGCCCCAGCACCAGCTTCTCCTAACCTTTGGGACTTCTTAAAAACAAATATCCACTCTGCTGAAAAAGGGCTACCTATTGCCCAGACTTGGGATCTCATGAAATCAAAACAACATCTGCGGTTCATCAAGAACCAATGTAGTCCAAATGCACTGCATCATTCTTTTGTGTAACCACAGCATGGAGTGACAGCATGAGATGACTCATGGAATCCTTCCCTGTCTCAAAATCCATGACGAGTTGCACCATGCAAAACTGAAGAGAGGCTGTGCTGCGACTGATCTGTGGAAATGGCTGTCTGTCTGTCTTCATGATCACTTGTGTAATTGGAAACGTGGTCTACAAACACAAAAGACAAATTTTGGATTTATAACGCTTTCTACTAATACCTATGGGCAGGAAGGTGGGGCTTTGCATAAGACTCTCTTCTGCTTGTTGTGTTTCTTTGGTGATTTGCCTTAGGGTCAGTCAACCAAGACAGGGGTCCTTAGGATACTGAGGTATTACCTGTTACCTACCAAGTTATGGACCACTCTGGCACTGGCCTGCAGTTACGAGTGAGTCAGCCATCCTGTTATAAGACAGAAGACCAGTCTACTTTCTAGTCTTCCGTATTGATATTTATCCCTGAACCAGTGCTTATTTTCAAATTTTCTCATGTTTTTAAAAAGTTTTTGTTAATTTTTTCCCAGAATCGGAGAGGTAGCTTGGAAGGAGGTTTCAAAGGACTGGATTGTTTTTCGTCAGATTAGAGAGTATTTGTATTCTTTAAATAGACATAGAATGAGGTTCTGCATGTTCCCACCCTGCAATAGTACTTTTGCTTTTAAGGTACTGTCGAAGTGGTCATCATAGAGGTACCTAAAATAGATGGATTAAAGGCTTCTAAACTGTGGTTTTTAGACTGGTGACCCACACAACGCTTGTCGTTTAGCCTGAAAAGCTACCAGGCCATCTGTTTCCATTTTTCCTCTGAAACTCTGTATGAGAGCAACAGTAGTTGGAGGAGGTAATGTGAAGAACAGGCTGCATGATACACTCCTGCAAAATGGGAAAGATGCTTTCCTAGCTGCTAGAGCTGGGTGGGAAATGTTTTTCTCATCCTGTGAAAATACTAAGATTCTGATCCCCCCCCCGCCTTTTTTTTTTTTTTGCTATCCTACATGAATATATAGCTGAAACTCTCTCCCCTCTCCCCCAGAAAAAGAAAATAATACCAAAAATGCTTTTTGAAGAGGTGGAGAAATTAGAAAAGAAGGATAGGAAGATTGAGAGAAATTAAGGAGCCACGTACAGATTATCCAGTGTCTGGGAGTTGTCCATGTAGTTCCAGAGAGACCCGAGCTGCCTAATTCCTGGCTATTCTGGGCAAAAAAAAAAATCTGTCTTGAACTTCACAAGCCTTTTGAGGAAACCTTTTTTCCTTGATGAGTTGAGAGGAATTGTTTTGACCAGTTCTGAAAGCTGCATGAACTTAAAATGCTTTTCTAGTTCTTAATTTTCTTGCAACTTATTACCATGACAGCCAGTAGTCTGGCTATGCCCATTCACAGTTGCATGCTGTGAGTCATTGAAAATTGGGTGAGAAGGATGAGATACGATCTTTTTGAGTTCTGTTGTCATTAGTGTCAAATTGTGTATTGCTCTTGTACCCAGAGCAGGTACTATTAAAGATTAAAAGGAGGGACGGGAAAAAGGTAGTTTTATCTAGAAGTAATAAATAAGCATTTTTGAGTTGGCTTTTTTAAAATTAGGATTTGAAATCTAACTCCCCAAATCTAAATGTTAAATACTTTCTCTTTTTTAATCTCAATTTTAGATTATTTTGTGTGCATATATACGGACCCTTTTCTGAAAATCATTGTTAATATTGCGAGGGCAAAACTGCAGTTACAGCACGCTGCTAAATCCATTATAAATGCTTGCCTTCAGAGATTTACAGTGTGTCTATTTTAAACTTCTTTGAGTTAAAACTTTGCAAACACCAGTAGTTAGACCTGGTGGGAATTTGAATTGCCTGTTTGTTTCCATAGGTCTGTTTGCTAAGTTTGTGCCATTCTCTGAAAGGCTGTTTTTTCTAAACAATGCTATTTTTTCCGCTATAAACCACTCACCACACAGACGCTCTGTTTCCTAGGTAACTTGAGTACAGATTGAATTTCTCTCTTATTATCTTTGTTCCTATATCATCTTTCTTATTTATTTTTAACCTTTCCTATCATCTTTCTTAACAATTCTTTGTGCTATTGTGTGTTTTTGCAGTTTTCCATGACCTGTTTTCCCCCTTCGTCCATTTGCATTTCTGAAGGGACTCATTGAAAGTTTCTTATGCAACGTTTCTTTGTATTTGAACATATATGAAGTTGAAAAGCCAGATTGCTATTGTCTGTTTTGTGATACCCATACTCCAGTGGATGGTGGGTAGGTGTATAAATAAATGAGCTGTAATTGCTCCTGAGTGTAAGACTGTTCTGAAAGGACAGTTGTGTCCTGCAATGCAGCAAGCAGAGTCCAACCTTTCAGTGTGTGCAACTGCAGGATTCCTTCGACCGGATCCTGCAAATCCTCGTTCAAATGACTAATCATTTTGAAAGGATGCTAAAATACTGGGAAAGTTAAACTGAAGGAACTGGCCTCTTTTTTTTTTTTTTTTTTTTAATTTAATGATTTTCAAACAGAACTTGATTATTTGAGCACTTGCTGTTTATGTGAAAGTAGCTTCTTGGGTACTTAAAAAACCATGGGTTGCTCATGAATTATATACCTTAAACATTGAGTCAATGCGTAGCCTTTTCTAATGTGGTATTTACAGTGCCTGATCATTTGCTTTTGTCGCATGTTTTTCTTTGATCCCCTGGTTGGAGATTGCTTGAGTTCTCAAACCTGTAAGTTGTTTGTAGGCAGCTGTATTAGCATTTCTAGCATGAGCAATCATGTAAATAGAGGTGTTCATTAATAGTCATCATAGTGTTTTCCCTGAATGCTTTTACAAATGTGAGCAATGGGTTGGTTTATTTCTATGTGATCTACACAAACAAGGAAGTGTAGAGTTTTTTTAACCTGTTTCTACTCATGCACCTGAATCCTCTATCTTTGAGTAAAAGTTTGGGGATCTGGTCTATAATCTTTGATCTACAATTGCTTTAATATGTGCTCAACTGACTTAATGTTCTTGAAGTTCAGTAAATGCATAAATATTTGCAGGTCCAGCCTATGATTGTGATTATGTTTATCATGTAATGGAGAACTAGTTATTATTGAACGCTATACCAGGAGCACTGACCATGGAAGTCAATGAGCCACTTTTATATTTGCCTGCTCATAGTACAAGAGGAAGATTTGGGGAGTGGAGTTGGTTTTTGTCTTTTTATAGATAAAGGTTTAATCTCATGTTTTCAGGTTTCCAAAGGCGTATTTTGAATAGTATGCAAAAAGGATTGTTTCAAATGCAGCAAGAGGAAAAAGCACTTCTCAAACATTCATAAGTGGCTACTGATTGCATAAACTTATTTTAGGCATATTTACGTAATACATATGGCTATGCATCTGTAATGCTTTTATCATTGATTTAGTACGCGACTCTAGACATGACCATTTCCCTGTTCCTCTGTTTCTGCCTTCTTAATTGTGTATAGTGATAGCATAGGACTGTGTATTACATTTGTACAGGGCTTTAGACATAGAAGTTGTGCTTGAGTATTAATGTAAAAATGTTAACAATTAATGTCTTTACTAATTAAAATGAAATCTCGTTGCTTACCTGGCATCAGACGCTAGTCAGCCTTCCTGGGTCTGTTGAATCTGGTTTGCGTATAATGATGATTATGTAACGTATCCACTCCTCCATTGCTTTCTGACGTATATGCAGTTGTAGGTGAAGTGGCAGTAACAAGCCAGAAAAAAGCAGCAGTTTAAACCACCACAGTGTTTCAACACTGAGTGATTTAAATTAAACCACAAAAATGCATCTGTTCGGTTAGTAAAAAAACCTGTGTTTTGGTAGTTACTGATGGTCTGTATGCCCTTTTTCTAGGTGAAAGTTGAATATGTGACAAACTTATCTACAGGGAAGGCTGTTTTTTATTTTATTTGCTTTTCGTAAAGGATAAAGAAGAAAACTGATTACATAATGTCAAAACAGCTATTTAAATCAATGGTCCAAATTTCTTCCATAGCACATTAATGTTTGACAGTGGTTGCATTTGGAATCTGTGTCCTCCCTCCTGCCCTGGCTCACTGTATTTCGTATTCTGTACAGTAACCCTGTGCACATCTGGATAATAAGTTGCTTTCAAAGTTTGCACAAAGTATTTGGTGGCAAAGAAATGATAATTTGATCAGTAGAATCCCTTGTTAGGATGATCTTGGGATTCCTAACCTTCAAATGGCTATTTGAGTCTCTAAGCAAGTCACATCTTGGATTTAGGTCATTAGTTTTCTTTTTAAGCTGACAATCTCATCAAGCGGCTCCTTTTAAGCACTGCTACTCCCTAAGGGCAACCTTTCTGGCTGTCCTTGGAGCAAGTCACTTAAGACTAGACATGCAGCTTATGCCTCTTGACAGCCTTTTGAAACGCTGGGGCTTCAACAGCACACGTTTTACAAGCTTCCTGTCTTCCTTCCTTTCTAAACAGGAGAGCAGTTAATGCTGTCTTTCATTTACTTGAACAGCCGTGTTTCTGTTAATTCCCTCATAACGGTTCTCAGTTGGGCAGATTTTATATATTTATTTATTCTTACCTGAATGATATTTCAATAAGAGCAGAGACATGTCAGCTAGCTCTGCTGTTGCTTTAATGAGCTGTGCTCTCTGTCCATCCACTGATGGATTGTAAATCATTAAAATAGCTCCCTGGTAAGCACTCGGAGCATATTTCATCTGGGTTTCATTTTTTAATGCAGTCATAAGTGAGCTGTACATTCCATAAGCACGTATGAGTGCTATGGCAACAAGAACTAGGAGGCTTGTGAGAATTGCATGCAATTCACTGAAGCAATATTTTCACCCATCAGGCACTTGTGATGACAACAGCCAACATTACTTTTGGCCATGTTTCCAGTGAGACAAGTACCAGCACTCTTGCTGAGAAAAAGATTTGTTTACCCCTTTAATCAAGATCTGCCATTATCAGTGCTTTTCTTTTCTGACAGTAGGAGCAAGGTTTATTGGATGCAGTGTCTTGCAAAACTTGTTTAATGTAAGAAAAGTACAGCTGTGTAGAAACTTTGCTGATGAGGCATTAGCATTGGTATAGTCAGATAAAGCCTATGATGTTAGTGAGCTGTCTTTTATGTGCTTAAAACAGGGCTGAACCACTTTTGTATCAGAGACACTGCTTTATAGATTTTTGTGCTCTGTAATGGGGACCAAGCCGTCTCTGATCTAAGATTATATTTTGGTTTTAGTGTGGTGAATTTCAAAGCTCTCACTGACTTCAGAGGAAACAGGATTAACGCATCTCTGTTGACAGGTTCGTTCCGCTAATGCTGCTGTTCTGCAATGTAGGTGAGCTGTTAAATGCACGTCGCTGTACTGATGTTCTCAGTTTTGGTGAGAGGTAGTGTTAAGTCTTTCCATGCTTGGTATTGATTTGTGTGTAATGGAACTCTAACTGGGATGGCAGCAGCAGTTCACCAGCCCCAGATGTTTATGCTGGGGACAGGAATCTCTCCTCAAGAGGAAGGGTGAACTTGACCAATAATAATCTGTTTTTAATGTGTACGAAGATGAGGCGGCGTTTACACAGCAGTTGTAGGTGTGCTGTGAAGGGGTTTGGAGGAAGATGTTCTCCTGGCTCTACTTACATGTTCTTTCTTGCTTGCTACTGTGCTACAGAGGTGATTACAGTTCCCATCTGTTTGGTCACTTCCCAAGTTCTGCCCACTCAGACTTACTGGTTGAGCAGCTCGGGAGAGCTGCTCAGTCACACTGAACCAGGAGTTTTGTTCATCTTTCCCTTTCGATTCGTTTTCACTGACTCCAGGAGCTTTCAGAGGACCTGCTTCCCATGGAAAGCTGGAAGAACTGTGTCCTTCAGTAGCCAGATAGTGGGGGTGGTAACTTCCTAGAACCATGGCAGGTGGAAGAAGGCATATGCACAGATCTTAATGAGCTTAAGGTTAAATTTAAGCAACCGTTTCCAAAGTCAGGGGAATGCAGCTGCCATGGTGGTTTTGAAGATTTTCCAAAGTGTTTCTTTTCTGAGGAGGGCAGGAATTCAGATGTTGCATGTATTCCGAGAAAGAGTAATGTTTTGAGGATGCTTTGTATCTCCGAGTCTTCCTGAGTTGTGATAGTGGGGAGTCCAGAGTAGAACCAGCTCAATGAAGGAGGTCGTTCGGTGAGGTAGGAGTTGGCTGTTGAACTTGTGGTTCAGGTAATAATAGTGGTTGCTCTGAATTTTTGTAGCTGATTATACAAGAGTACTTTAGCAAAACTTCCTTCACCCGCTCTGACAAAGGGACAGGGTTGGAGGAAGTATTTTGCGGCATTCAATCTATTTTTTATTTCTTCCATAGGCTTTGGCAAATGATTTCGCCTACCAGCTGCTGAAGTTTGAGAGAATATTCTTTTAGTACCGTCTGGACAGACGTTGCCATTACAGAGAGACTGTATAAGCCATTGTTTCCCCATTACAACTCAACGTATTGATAGAGTAGGTAACTTAGGGTGGCAGAAAGACCTTTCGGATGACAGGATTCTGCCTTTTTGTAGATATGTAACTGCTATGGCTGCACCACCCAATACTTAAGGCGTAGAAAACTCAGGAGTAAAGATACTTTGTTTCTTTTGAATGCTGTCTTAACTGAGGATGTTAACCACAGTCATACTAACTAGGAGATACTTCCTCCCCCTACATGCTCTTCACCACGTAGGTTCTGGCCGAAAGATTACTGGAGACCATGCATTAATTTTTCTTTGTAAAAATGGGAAGTAACAAACGTTGCTGATCTTGGAGGATATTGGGACATTTAATTTATTAATGTTTGTGAAGCAATCAAAGTTATGTAGATAGGAAGCTGTATCTGTAACAACTCGGTGGTGTTTTTTTCCTGTGTCTCCTGTTTAAATGTTCACTTGCACTAAAAATGTCTACTATCTCAGAATCTTGATCTGCAGAGATGACCATCTCTGTGAAGAGTATATTCATTCCTTGAACAGAAAAGGAATTGTCTGTCAGCACAGCCTTTTATTCTATTTTTTCTTCTCTAGCTGAGAAAGAATAAGCATAATCTGAGAGAAAATAACTCTCAGCAGAATTTACCATTAATTTAGTTTCCGAATGACACATAGCTTCTTATTCACCTTTCATTCAGTGCAGGTAAGAAGTGAATTTTAGGAAATTGAATTTTCCAAGTTTCTGTATATAGTGAGGAGAATTATTTTTCTAAGAAAAGTATTGACTAGCTAGCTAGTAACTGAAGCCTTTTGGGTATTGTGTTCAGGTAAGTGAAAGCATCAAATTGAAAACGTGAGATGTATTTTAAAGTATTTGCACAGCTAAAGAGAGAGACAATTTAATATGCATTATTTAAATATCCCTTTAGCTTTTTATCATCAGTGTTCATTTCGGATTTCACTGTCTCATCCTGTATTTGAAGCATTAATGGGCAGAATAGCCTAATATATGTGGATATTGAACTTGCATAAAGATGTATGAGTGACAGTATCATAGTGTTATGTAGGAAGTAATTATTCCTCTGCTCCTTGTAAGAGAGTATGAGAGGTTTTGAATTGATTTTGAACAAAAGGAAGAGGGGGAGGAAGGAGCAGAAGGCCTGAAGTTGGTCTCTACTGGTATAACCTGATTAGGACAGTATATGGTCTTTGTTGTTAAAGGTCATGAGAAGTGCGTAAACTGAGTAAGCGTCGACAGGAAAAAAAGTGCTGCTGTTATTATACTGAGATTGTCTGATGCAATTTGTTTTATTTTCATCTCTGCTTTTATTGATATGACACATAAGCTCTTCAAGCCAAAGGCTGTCTTTTGTAATGCTTACATTTTCACTGAGACAGTGGGATATCTATCCGTTGCTCAGCTTATGACTCTGCAACAATCCAAATAATTATAGGTAATAATGGACTAATACGTGAGTAATATACTTTTACAAAAGTAATTTGTATGTGAGCTACTTAATCATATCTGAGCATGCAAGTGTTAAGTATCATTAATATTAAACATGGCCATTGTTCCTGCTTGTGCTAATGTTTTATTCATTATTGCCATTGTAACGAAAGCTTTTTTGTTGTTTTTGTTTTGTATGTTTTTTTTCTCTCTTAGGCTCAAAATGCACAGCAGCTCCATGAGAGGATCCAGTCTTCTAGTATGGATGCGAAGTTAGAAGCACTGAAAGACTTAGCCAACTACTCACGGGATGTTACATTTGCCCAAGAATTTATAAACCTAGATGGCATTTCCCTCCTAACACAAATGGTTGAAAGCGGCACAGAGTAAGTATTCTGCTTAAATTCTGACGTTCCTGCCGTATGGGATGCTTCCGTGCTCGCTGTCTAAGTGCCTGAAGTATTTCTGTATACAACTTCTAAGATCATATAAAATAAAACAGCTGAAGGGTTCTGGGCTGCTAGGATAGTATATCCATTATCAATGAGAATATTTTTTTTTAATTTCCCCTAACAATGGGCTGGTGGAGATTGGGGGTGAGCAAAGTAGGAAGTCACAAGTACCCTCTGCGCCATAAAGTTTTGGGGAGACTGTGGTCCTAGTTTATTCCCTACCCATTGGAATTTAGATAAATCATTGATAGTATATTTGAAGGGTGATATTTAACTGATGTAATCTGAAAACTGTGTTTTAAATTTCATGTTACTGACAACATGTGGAGCAAAACCCAGTGCTTACTTTATTTCCATTTTTATTGTTTTAATTCTGGCTGGGGTTTTTCAAATGACAGTGGCTTTTTGACATGAAATCGAAAGCTGACCTCTGAAAATACATTTATTCTTTACCAGAACATCTTACCAATTTTCACCATTGGTGGAATTCAGGACCATGGTCCTGAGTAAATGTCTACTGGCTTAATGTGGAGGGTACTACAGAAAAGTTATCAACTGGATTGTTGCACTGTTAAATTATGTTCTAACAGTTACTATTTCAAGTAGGCTTTTGCTTTCAAGTAAGAGTTTTAGTGCTTTGCAGTCAGTGTCAACCTCTACTCCACATGAAGAAATCAACAATACCCACACCCTTTCCTGAGAGAAAGAAAATGCTCTGAAAGTAGCTTTCTTATTCACTGGGGGTGTTCAGTCTTGTGGACCAGACTTCTGAAGTCAATTGCTGAAATCAGTCCAAATCCCCTCTCAAATGTGTTCCCTTGGATTCAAGAAAGTAAATAGTGCTAGAGGGTAAAGCAAAAGTAGTAAGTGGGCTTTGAAATGGAACACAAACTGTCTCTGATGATCCCACGCAAGATGTACTGGGGATTTTCCACAGAAAAATTAAGTACTATTTTTTAGAATCCAGTAGTCCTTAGACTGGGAAATGTAAAAGCACACTCTCACTGATCCCTGCCTGTTATGTGGTCAATGGTTTATTGGACTTTGAATCGCTGTTGCCCAACTCTAGCTATATACTGGATTTCCAATACCTCATGGTTTCATCTTCAGTGTTTTGGGTTATGGTCTTTTATTTTTTTGCAGTGATGTCGTCTGTGGCACATACTATGCCACTTTAAAAAAAACAAAACAAAACAAAAAAATGCTTCTAGTTATCAAATTTGTCAACTTGTCATATATTCATATAATATTTGTTGTTTAGGGACCAAATTAAATTTAAAACCAAAGACAGGCTTAAGTTGATGTAAACATGTGCACATAGTTACTGTACTAATTAAAAAAATACACTGAATGAGCAGGCTCACGTGTGCCTATGAAGATCAGAACATAAGCAAATTAAAAGTCACTGCCTCTGTAGTTTATTTTGTCATGAATTTATTTAAGTTAAATGGTTTAATTTACTCTACTGCAGAAGGTATTTAAACTAAAGCACTTTATTTTCTGTTGAAAGAGACAGGGAACATTTGCATTTTTTACAAGCATTTCTTTTAGCTGCATCAAGGCTAAAGCAAGTGCCCTCCTCACCCTTCAGATGTGTCTGTACTACTGTTTTGTAGCTGTGGGATGGGCCAAGCTATAGCAGACTGATCTGGATTAAAAATAACTATTTGGGAGGGAAACTACTTAAGCCAGCACCACTGTTGAAAGAACTGCTCAGCAAATTACACCCTAGTAGTAATTCCTGGCTAAAGATACACGTTTTTCAAACCACACAGCAAGCTTGCAGACTGGACATATGAGCAGAGTCTATTGCCTTTTTTTTTCTTTTTTTTTTTTTAAAGTGGCTTGCATTTGGAGGGATTTCAGAATTTTCCTTTTAGCTGGTGTAATGTATCACCAAAGATGCATTGATCGATCTACCTGTCTAATCTATTTATCAGTGTTTCTGCCTGTGGGGAGAAACACTGTCTAGCTTGGGCATTGAACAAAGACTCAAACTGTAAGAGTTTCCAGCAGCTTCACGTGTCGATGAATTCTCAGTACTCACTGCAGTCTTTCTCGTGTTCAGCAGCCTAGACGTTCTGCAGCTTCTGAGGAGGTCTGCAGGTCAGGTTTTTCCAAGTCTGGCTTTGCGAAGGGAGTTGTAAAGCAAGGACATCTGTGCTATGTGCATTCCCTTCTGCTTTTATACTGTGCATCACTGGCTGATAAGTGCATATTTAATTGAGATTTAATGAAAGGAGCAAATCCTAATATACACAGACTCAACAGCCTAAACCTGCCATGATACTGCTGCTTTCCTTTCTCATCTGACTTCAAGGTATTGGTCCTGTCCTCCCGCTTCAGGGTCTGTCACTCATTGCTGTCTCAGCACACTAAGCCAACAGACAAACTACTTCCACAGAAGAAGCATTTTTTTGTTTTGGTTTGTTTTTTGACTTTATTATTACAACAAAACAGCTTCCTAAAATGGCCTGTTGAGCGAACAAGGTGTGTGTGGGAGGCAAAGGAAAGTAATATATGGAGGAGAGAGTGGGGCAAGGGCAGCCAGTGGTTTGAGTGCCCTAGGCTGTCAAGGAAAAGCAGCTGGAGTCAGTCAATTGCCCTCTTACGTTCTCTGTTCCTGTTTTCACTTGGACCCTCTGCAATACTGTTAATAAGAGGGTCCTGCAAGATGCTCGCTGAACAGGCAAAGCAAGCTGAAGGCCTCCTTGCCATTAGCTCCCACCCTGGGCTGTGCGCCCTCAGCACTGTGACCTTGTGGGCTGTGCTGCTGACAGGTCACCCAAATGCTTCAAACCAAAAAGCTCTTTTTCCTCCTCTTTCCTGCCCCAATACTGTCACTTTCTTTTCCCCAATGGTATTTTTAATTCTAATCATTTCAGTATCTGTAGGTGGACCTACCCAAACAATTGTATTAGCATTAGAAAGGGGGGCAGTACTAGAGGAGGAATGAGGAGCCAGAAGTTTCAGGGAAGGGCAGAAACTTCTTTGACGGCCCAGTTTTAGAAAGCAATATATTTTGTGAAGATACCTTTAAGATATATCTTCACTGTGGAGTTCTTACCCACCTTTGAGTTACTGTTGTTGAGCCAGCCTTGCTTGAATGAGGCTATGACTCAATCATACAGCTGAGAGAACCCTAATGGCTTGGTGCTGCTAAGAGGTGGTCGAGCTCCCTGCCCTCTTCTCCCAGTCCTTGTATGTTAATCCCCACTCTCCAGCCTAGTCCTGCTTCCCTTATGTGTTAACCCCCACTCTTCAGCCCAGACCTGCTTCCTTCCTGGGGTTGGTTCTGGTGTCTGGATGCTTCGCAAAGCCAATCCAGCTTTTTAACTTGGCTGAAAAGTATCCACGTCTGTTTTGCAGAGTTAGTTTTCTGCTCAGTTTGAGACTTATAGAAGCAAGAGGGGAAGTGGGCATGAGTGGATGCAGAAAATGTCCTTTTTTGTGGCAACAGACCGCTACATAGGCATAGGTGCCTCATCGAGCCACAACCTGAGAGCAGGCATGTTGTGAAATAGCGTGAGAGTGGCTGTCTCTGCTCTGGTGTCGCAACCCGGAGAGTGGCACTAAGACTCTGAGGGGGTCAGAGGGGATGGGACATACCCCATGGGGTGGCTGCTGCTGCTCTGCAAGGAGCCCCTCTGAGTGCTTTCCTGGCTGCCCGTGCAGCCAGGAGAGCCCTGCATCAGTAAGCCCAGGCTGAGTGGCGCCTCTGTTCACGGTGTGGTGCAGCTGTGCTAGAAATCCATGAATTTTGTTAATTCAAGCTTTAGTCTCTATTTTCCCCAAAGGGGCAGACAGTGCTCATTAGAAGTACCGTTATACCCAATGTAAGGTTGCTCTGAGGTTTTCTCTGCACGTGGAACTCATGTTAGGGGCAGCTCTTAAGTTATAATTTGCGTGTGTAATTAAGTTTTAGCGGGCAGCCTCTGGAAAGCAAGACTCCAGCTTTTTATATAACTTTCTCCCGGGAAGAGGCCTATGCTTTGTTTATAGTTGGCTTTATTTATTGTGCTACTTATTATTTCAGTGAAGCTGATGACTATAAAAGTACAGTGACCACAGTAAGAGAATGTAAATTCCTGGGTTTCTAGTTACCTCTGCTTCATTTTGCTGGTGTTGACAAGAACTAACAATGTTTTCTAGTTAATTTTCCATATGTTATATTCCTGAATATCGAAGAAAATTAGAATGCGTTAGAGAATAGCAAGTTTCAAGCTGTTCATATAGCTTGAAAAATAACAAATTGAGAGAGTTTTTTTTACTTTGCATATGTTTTCAAAAGTGGTTTTAATACTATGTGTAGTTACCATAATTTGGGCCAGATCTCCTTGACTGCCTGCTGCTTAGAGCAAATGAACTGTAGACATGGTGTGTGCTGGGACAAAGCTATAGGGGTTGTTGGTAGGCAGATTGTGTAGGGTGCATGGGGCCCTAGTGAAGCTGAGAGCGCATGAATATATTTATACCAGCAGAGATGCAACACGTCTTAGAAACTGTCCGCATGTATCGGGATCCTGTTGATTGACATGGCTCCTCTTTGTTTTTCCTTCAGGCTCATTCTTGCTTCCAGAGCATGCTATGAGTGTCTTACTAACTGAAGAAAAAAACGAAGGGGGGGGAAAGTTTTTATGTTTATTTTTATGATTCAGGTGACCTATAAATTATAGCAGAGACTGCAAGATAAGTTAGGTCATGAAGAACAAGTAAATGCTGATTCCATTTTATAATTACCCAGGATGTCCAGTCATTTTTTGGACTCTGTGTATCTGTATCACCAAAGGAGGGGTGTGCATGTGCGTACACGGTTATTTTCCTTTTCAGAGACTTTTCAGAAAGAGATTTCCCTAGTACTTCTAACACTAATTTTTTTTTGTCTGAAGCCCAGTTCGTGCCTAGTTAAGGGAAGTTGAATATGTGGTCCATCT